TGACACGTTCGCTCGTCGCCCGACGGCCTAGCGACTTTCTATCTGCGCAAATCCTACGTAAACAATTTAAAGATCGATAACACTGTTTAAAGTTGGAGAATCGATCGTTCGGTTTCTAGAAACATGGATTTTTTATTTGATTTCTACAACGGAACCGGACTTTGTCCGCTCGTTCGTCACTCTCTTGCAGTAATAATTCGTAAACAAAACCGTGAATCGCCTCAGAAACCCGCCATTTTCGGATCGCGAGACACTTTTCGGACACCCTGTATATCGATCTAAATGCGTTATAATTAACGGAGACTGCCGAACGTCCGAACACAGCGAGAAATACAGCAAATTTTCTCCGATTGTCACTATTATTTCTAATAAATATATTTAGAAATATAATACTAATTTATTTATTAGAGAAACGAATCCGACCGGATTGTTACAACAAACAAGACTATTTCTAGATCACTTCGCGCGATCATCAGCTTCTTTTCGCAGCCTAACGGCTCTCCGTTCCTCCAACTGCTTCCGCAGGGCATCCACTTCCGGCGAAGCGACTGCTGCCTATTACAGCGGTTTGGACGGGGCAGGGTTGTTTCGCCTGGAAAACGAATAGAAATTCAATTCTTTAGAATATGATATTTAAATTCTTTAAAATATGATATCTAAGTTCTTTACAATATGATATTTAAATTCTCTAGAATATTGCATTTGAATTCGACGCAGAGAATTAGTCCTAGTATTTTTTATTTTCGACACCGTCGCTGCCGTAAATTGCAGTAAATTATGTCTAATTGACGCTCGAATTGTCCACAAAAATTCGGGAAGAGGAGGCACGATTATTCGAAGTCTTGCGGCTCGTTTTTATAATCGTTGACGATCTAAATAACTAAATACCGAGACAAGGCCTAAGTAGAATCGTTAACAATTGAAATAGTTACAAAAATATTTAAACNTTAACCCAGTTCAGTGCTTATTCCTCGATTTTTATGTCATCAATTCGCGAGAACTATGACAAAAAAAAAGAATTTTTGGACAACGAGTGGCAACAATTTCGATCGCCCACGTTAAATTCGTATTTCAAAAGTAACAAGATCAATCGACTTAATTAATTGATGATTAATAACTGCACGCGCACACGCAATTGTCTAACGTTTCGATGGATTTTTTGAAGGAAGGAACCAATCGGGACAAGGATCAGCGACGACGCTTNAGTTACAAAAATATTTAAACGATACATTTTTATACTTCGTCTTTGTTTTCATTGCGAACATTTCAAAAGTGACAACTTGCGCTGAGAATAGAATGTAATTTAAGCTGTCAGATTTATTTGCATACATCTCGGTAATCTCGATAATTTTCGCATTTCTCACCGACTAGGAACAATTATTAGCAGAAGACTAACTTGCTGACTTTGTAATCCTCCAGCGCCTTTCGAGTATCCTTAATCATAGTCTTCTGCCTCTCGCGTTCCCGACTCACGATGCATTTCCGATTCTCGATTTCCTCGTTCAGTTTCATTTTCATCCAAAACAATCTCTCCTTCAACTGTACAATAATAACAATAATAATAATTTTTCTTTATTTTTTGGATCTTATCCATTAAAAATCCCCCACCCCCTACCCCTTTAAACAGCATTATTCCACCCCAGAACTGTTTTATCCATTACATCAATAATAGTAAAAAGAAGAAGAAAATAATGAAAATAATACAAATAATAGTAATAATAATAATAAAAATAAGAAGAAGAAGAAGAAGAAGAAAAAGAAGAAGGAGAAAAAGAAAATAACACAAATAATAAAAAAAATTATAATCATAATAGTAATAATAATAATAATGATAAGAAGGAGAAGAAGAAAATAATAATAATAATAATAATAATAATGATAAGTAACAGATTGAGAAGAAAATGATTCTTCGCGGATTAAGAAAAATCGGTTAGACCTCTGCCAGGGACATTTCGCAGAGCAGACCCAAGCCACTGGATTCCGTCGGGTCGAAGTCCTTGTAGGGCAAGGTTCGCAATGACTGTATAGTTTTTATTTCCTGAATGAGTCTGATCTTTTTCTGTATCTCCTCTTCCCTCTGTTTCGCCAGCTGAGCCTTCAATTGCCGGGATTCTTCGGAAACCTCGGCGGCTAATTAATAAATACACAATCCGTTCACATTTGATTTCTCAAAAACTGAACAACCGGATACAATCCGTTTTGAACAGGGACTTTGATGAAACTGAACTACAATTTCTCGTATTACCGTGACGTATATCTTAACGTTGTTGTCGAACTGCGTATTTTAACGCACAAAATGTCGCAGAAAATGTCGCAGAAAATATCGTCAAAAATTTCGCAAAAAAGGAGAAGTTTCTCGTTTCGCCTGCATTTATCGTAAATGCATCAAATTCGAATGAACCGAGAATCCATATATTGTATATAATAATTCCCCAATTACGGAGAATATAGAAAAATAATATATATTATATATAATACATATATAATATATGTAATACATATAATATATATGTATATTATAAGAAGAAGAATATAGAATAATTCTCACAATTTTATAGTTTACATGTGAATAAACGTTTCAACGCTTGCGAAAGTTTTTTTAAAATTATTATAATAAATAATAACACACCTTTCTGTCGTTTCTCGTCGATCATAGCGTTGAAAGCGTCCCGGGAATTTTGTTCGACTATGCGACACCGTTCGACAACTTCAGCCATTTCCTTGTTATGTTTCTCTTTCCATTTCTCCAGCTTCTCCGACAATTCTTGTTTCTGCGAGCGATTCGTGAAAATCCCAATTTAAATCTCAATTCTTTAGAATATGATA